AGAATTGTTATCTTTCTTGCATTATGAAAATGTGAGGGCTGGCGAGATAGCTCATCAGACTAAGTGCCTGCTTAGGCAAGCACAGGGACCATGGTTTGATCCCTGGTACCTCATGCCATGCCAACCCCACCCTCGGGAGCACTGAGCCAGTGACCCATTCCGGGCATGGTGGCGTGCACCTGTAATCCAAGCACTGGGGAGGCTAAAAACAGGAGGATCACTAGGAATCCAACCTGCCTAGTGAGACCCTGTACCAAATACATAAAATTCAAAAAGAAAATATGTGATGTCCAAACTTACAAAAACAAAAAACCCCAGCAAACAAAAAGATATGGTCATTCTCAGCTTACCTGTTAATGCCATTGACCTGTGGGTTTATACACACCAAAAAGCAGAAATCCACCAACTTCTGTCTATCCTATTTATTGTATGCATTAGGAGAGATTTATATGATGAGTATTCTCACAGAGCCACCATTTTTTCCCAAATCACATAAGCAAACAAGAACACTGAGAGAATTAACATATCTTGATTTGAATGTCTAAAATACAGGGAGCATATGCACCAATCTTAAAAATAGAACCCTAAGAATAAAAATGCATTCACAATAGTGTGTTCTCTCTTGTGCATACTTTATCTATGCTTAGGTTACCAAAATGTATTACAGTTCCTCTGTGCCACATTGGTAAACTAAAAACTCCAACTAATTTCAAAGAAGTAGATATTGTTAGCCTCTTTTACAGTTATGGAGATGAGCAGAGGAACGGAAATTCGTTAATTGTCCTCAGGTTGCATAGCTGGGAAACTGGTCTCATCTCCATGACCCCAGAGCTCTAAATAATTTCTCATTAAAATCTGAAAGCAAATTCTTTTTAATTTTCAATTAATATTATGTTGCTTATGATTTTAGGAATCTCTTTTCAGTAAATATTCAAATAGAAGATACATTTAAATTTTTTAAATTTTTTTTATTAGAAACAGTTATACATCATTGTCTCATTATTGGTCTACACATACCTCACTTACATAGCTTATTTTATGAATTCTCTTTTACAATGTAAAATCACCCTACGAATCTGCCGAACTAAACCAAGGCCAGGATCAACAATTATGTATGAGAGTCAGATGCCCCTCTAGTCTACTGTATCCATTCTGTATTATTATTTTCCTGTACCTATGGCAACCACCACAATAAATGCAGTCTATCATTTTGCATTCTATATAGATTAATTTATTTTTCAGCCTTCTTAAAATATGTATTTGAATTTTAACTTCATGCTGAGTAACATAATGATTTTTGGAATACACTTTTCTATAATGCTCAAGTTCATCTGTTTTGTTAACTTCACTGTATTAATTATTTTGACAGCTAGATGATGTGCTCTGCATAAATTCTCCTAATGTCAATGTGGGTTATTCCTTGGATATTTCTGGTGTGACTTACACAGACCAATGTATATTTTGCATCTCAAACTTCACATCTTTTGTATCAGTACAGTTTCTCTTTTAACAAGACAAGATCTCAATCAAGGGAATAGAACTTTTGAACTTGCACAGAGGGGCCAAATTTTTCAAAAAAGTGATTTCACTGTTTTGCACTTCTGTCAGCATGGAGAAAATAGTGCTGCTGCCCCACGTGTCCTCCCACGCTTGGCTCTGACAGCTATTTATAAACATGTGTACAGTGTGTCTACTGCTTCCATTCTGGTCTGTGCTTGCTTTTCCCAGTATGTGGCGATGTGACATCCCTGCCTCGCTGCATGGGCAAAGTCCTTTCATAGCTCCCTCCCAAGTTTTCCTCTGAGTTGCTTGCACTTACATTGTTTTGAAGATGTGCTTTATATGCTTACACAGCATTAATTGTAAAGATCTTCAACAAGATTATTACTGCTTTGTCATCTTTCAAAGTTTTGGATTTTCTGTATTTATTCTTTATATTTTAATTTTATTTTGTAAAATAAAGGCCAAGCAAGAACAAAAATCAGAAACAAAGAAACAGGGCAACATACAGCAGTATGTATGTTACAGATTTTCAAACCAAAAATAGCTGATTAACAACGGTTTGTATATTATCTATTTTATTGTCAAATCTGTTGCTCAGATTAGTAGATATAGTTATATAAGATTAAACATATGGTTCGATATTACCACTTGCTTTCAAGAAATCTTAAATTTTTGTCCATGTCTCTTTTTATTTTTAACTGTTTTTTTAAGTTTGTTTTGAAGAGGGTATAGTACTACTTGATATGACATTAGAAACTGTACATATTTAGAAGACCAAGAGGTCAGATATGCAAGCATGGCTTTTGTCTTATACATTGTTGACCTTAATGCAGTTGCTTAGATCATAGCTATCAGCACATAGTGTTAGTCAAGGTGAAAATTCTACAGATTAATGCTATTTTGAAAAAAACTGATGGAGATTTTTAGTTCAATCACCTCAGCCATCCTGGATATGTATTTGTATGATTTTCCCCTACCTTTTTTCTTATCTTTTCTCTTTTCTTCATTGTTTAATCCTTAAGTTTCTGTTTTTTCTGAGGTATAACATAGCTAAAGATAACAATTTTTAAAATCAATGTCTTTTGTCTTAATGAATGATTTTTTCTAATCCCAGTATCTAAAAGATAAATGCCCAGTGAGTCCAATAAATATTAAAAATGTGCTTGCAATTAGAGCCTCAGTCCGTGTGCACATAATTTTGGTATTAGCTATGAAATAAGAATATAATTGCATTTTTAAAAAGTTAAACTTATTTTTCTCATTCTATTTATTGAACAATTTTGCCTCCCCATTCCTACACCCACGTCTGAAATCCACCTCAGGCTGACTAAATTTATGTACATTCTCTCAATCTGTCCCTAGACTCCACTGCATTTATCAATATGGTCATCCCTGTAACAATGCCACACCCTCTAAAATGATTTAGCATCATTATAAGACCTGATATCCCCTGGGAAAAACACCTTCTCTCTGAATTTCTTCTTCAGATATACCTCAGCTAAACAAAGACAACGTAAAATTTGTTGTGTTTTTGTATTATTTTTGCATTTATTTTTATGCAACTTGGCACAATTGGTCACATGACTAAACTACCAAGTTTCTTTGGAGGGAACCAATCATATTTCATTTCTTCTGTGTTTTCCTTAGAGGACATAAGGTAGTGCTTTATCCACAATAAAATTCCAGAGTATCAGCTGGAGGCTTAGTTTGCAACACTAAATCACATTTTGGAATTGTGACTTGTTCTCACTACATTAGGGACACCAACAAAGTCACCAGGGGATCCTACAGAACCTTTTCATGCTCAAGATTTCCTACCAGTGCCCATTGTTTGTTTTTTAGTTGGCTATTACATGTTTTTTGAATGCAAAGTATTAAAGAATCTTTTAAAACCATATTACACTGGTTAGTAAAATGAATAGGAAAGAAATTCTCCCAGTGTTTAATCTCTGTTCATATTGCTTCCATAGTTTCCATTTTTTCTCAATGGCAATTACTCACATTCTCAAAAATACAAATTCTAAGCACAGAATTAAATCTGGAGTTTCAATGTTCCTGTGTAATTACATACATGTAATCACTGATCCAGTTAGAAAGCAAATGCTCTACAAATAGTATGTAATAGATGAAGAGAAAGCCAAGAATAATAATTTTAAAATTTAAAAATTCTGGAAGTGCATAAATAAAATCATAGACAAGAGAGTCACAATAGGTTGCTAAAGCGGTCTAGGACATTGAAATTCCACCTTCATCCTAACACGTAGCAGGATTTAGGACACTGTCATTTAACTACATTTCCAAAGTGACCATGGTCAAAGCAACAGGCCTGAAGACGCCTAAAGAGGTGTCATATCTTATGTGAACTGTAACATTGATTATTGTTTTTTTGAACAGCGTCCTATACCTGGGATAATTATGGCATTCCTGACCAAGTTAGCACATCTGAGAACAATGCTTTTGCCTGTCTTCTCCCACTGCAAAGCCTGAAAAGGCTTTCATTGCGTGTTTATTCCTTTACATCCTGCTCCTTACAGTCAGATAGTTCTAACAATAAACACACATAAAAGTTTAAATCACCTGCAAAAGCACATTTATAAATTCAGGAGAGTTGCATACATGTAATGTAGAGTGGTAAAGAGATCAATACAAATAAATAAATAATAAAGGTCCAATCAGAAATTGCCCTCTGCATCTCAGTTTCTCTACCTGTTAGACAGGAATGCTAACTCTCTTCCTGAAATTCTTTATAGCTTTAAGATCACATAATTCTAGCTATGTCTGAATGCATATATGATTGTTTGGTCAAAATATACATTTTTTTCTAGCATAATTT